GACCCCCCAAAATCATTAATTTAATTTAAAAGACACATTATTTGAATCCTTTTAGCCTACAAAATTGGAAATGTAAAAATCACCGATTTCTTCTTTCATATTCTTAGTCACAGTTCCTGAATTTTCAAGCATAATGGAAAAGTCTACCTGAGTCAGAATCCAGCCTAATCCCTCTTATTGCCCAAACCTTGAGAGAATCCTGTTATTTCTCTGAGAAATGTAAAAAGCAAAATCTGGGTTCCAACCCTCACCAGACTCCTTTGAAACTCTCTGCAAAAGGGGGCTTCTTTGAAGCCTGAATCTGTTGCTTTCTTCAAGGTAGAGGCTGTGAAATTTTTCCCCAGCAGAGATATCAGCCCTTAGACCAGAGCTTCCCTAGAGGCCTCCAGAGCTTCCCTAGAGGCTTCCACAGCTCTCACACTCTGGTGGTTTGTTTAATCTATTTCTAAATAAACTGACATATTCATGAACAACAAATCAGCACTTCCTCACTGCTAAGATACTTCCTCTGCACTCTCCTTCCATGCCTCTAGTTTACTCTCTCCCCTTTTAGAAAACTTAATATTTACAAAACTTAATACTTTCTCCTGATGGCTCTCCTAAAGGGTCTCACCGTGGCACCCAGGATGGAGTGCAGTGATGCTATTCTGGCTCACTGCACCTAGACCTCCTGGGCTCAAGTGATCCTCCTGTCTCTGCCTCTTAGTAGCTAAAGCTACAGGTGGCACCACACCCAGCTAATTGCATGTGCAGGCTTTTGAGACATAAAAGGGAAATAAGGAATGCAAATGCTTGCCTACCTTTTTTGGGGGTGAAGTCAATTTTTTGCAACATTTCCATTGAACCTGCCAAATAAAATCACTGAGTGTGGTCACAAAACTGTATGTTGGAAGAAGGAGTATATGGATTCCTAACAATTCAATTTAGCTCTAAAGTTCGGTTCTTAACTTATGTTACCTTTCTGTAAATATGTATAAGGAGAGTCCAAATACTGTGAAATCAAGAAAATATAAGGGTTGGGAGAGAAGAATCAAGCTTGTTTTTCTATGTGATTGTCTTAAAAAACAATGTATTGCCGGGCTCGGTGGCTCAGCCTGTAATCCAGCGCCTTTGGGAGGCTGAGGTGAGTGGATTGCCTGAGCCCACGGGTTCGAGACCCGCCTGGGCAGCAAGACTTCTTCTCTACAATAAATCAAAAAATCAGCCGGGCGTGGTAGCACATGCCTGTAATTTCGGCTACTTGGAAGGCTGAGGCAGAAGGATCGCCGGAGCCCAGCAGGTCAAGGCTGCGGTGGCCGGGAGCGGCCACTGCACTCTGCACTCCAGTCTGGGCGACAGAGTGAGACTCCAACTCAAAAAAAAAGTCACCTCAGCCCAGAGCCAGAACAGAAGACCCGAGGGACTGGAAAAGGATTTCACAAAAATCTGATCTAAATTACCACTTATAACGTAGACATATGGATTTTTTTATCCAATTATGTAGAGTGGTGCCTCAGGAAAGTAAATCTGTACATTTCTTCCAAAATGATAGCACTAGGATTTAGAAAGTAATATATATCTACATATATATGGAGATATATATATATATATATATATATATATATATATATATATATATATAGAGAGAGAGAGAGAGAGAGAGAGATATTTGCTATTAATCTTGCCTGGTTGGATACTTTGAAGGGGCAATATCATCCCAGCAAAGTAGG